TAAGAATGGCAGGGGTTGAAATATGAAAGTTTTAGAAATAGCCAATTAGTAAGAAAGAACAATATAATCAGAGAAATACAACTACACGTCCAGCCAAAAACTGACTGAGTCTAAAAACTGGGGAAGAGCAGCAAGGAGGAAGGCTTTATAATCTGTAGACTCTGACCTATTGGTTACTGGACAGAGTGAACCCTACGTGACTGCTGTCTCCACCAATCGTGGAGAAAAGGGTACCCTCTGATACTCTCTTTCTCTGATACAAATAAAAGAGTGAAATGAAAAGAATAATTTTCACTCTTTGTGCAATCATTATCTCTATGATACTGAAGTATGTCTTCGTATCTTGTCCCATGTTTGCTCTTCTAACAAGCCTGTAGCACTTTCTTGGATGCCTTTCCATCATGGAATATCTTGGCTTCCCTCTCTATAGGCACCCCAAAATGATATCTCTAATTTCAATTATTGTGGTTTCTGCTTGCTTCCCCAAGGGCCAGCTAACATCTCTCTTCCAGAGAGATGCCTGAGAAGATTGATTCATCCAAGATGTCTAGTTTATGTCTCGCATGTCTAGTTTAATGAAAAGAAGAACTAGGGGTGACTTGATAGCAGTGTTCCAATATCTCAGAGGTTGCCACAAAGAAGAGGGAGTCAACCTATTCTCTAAAGCACCTGAAGGCAGGACAAGAAGCAATGGGTGGAAACTAATCAAGGAGAGAATCAATCTAGAATAAGGAGAAATTTCCTGACAATTAGAACACTAATCAGTGGGAAACCTTGCCTCCATATGTTGTGAATGCTCCAACACTGGAACTTTTAAAAAAGAGATTGGACAACCATTTGTCTGAAATGGTATAGGATTTCCTGCCTGAGCAGGGGGCTGGACTAGAAGACCTCCAAGGTCTCTTCCAACTCTGTTATTCTGTTAAGATGTTGTACCTCCTGAAAGTTCAGAGGACAATATCACTTTACAATATTTTTGGGCAGTGTTTGAAGAGACAAGAGAAGACCCACACGTACACTATGTCTTCTTCAAACTTCTTGCAATGCCACTCACGTGCTGTAATAAGTCTAACAAAGGCGGGTGCTTACAGCAGAAACTTGTCAATTAAATAATATTCAGTAAAATAGCAAAGTAAACTGTACATTTACTGCTATGTGATGTAGGAAATGATGCAAAATAGAGTTATTCAGATTTATAAATTAACACCATGCCTTTTGTTTCTCTTTCAGTGGAAAGACTGGGCACGCAGAACCTAAAGGCACTTTGGTTTTATTGATGCACAATAAGTGCAAGTTGAATATTCAATTATGAGGTTGGATACAATGGATTTATTTCAACAGAGAAAATGACACAAGAATGCATGATATTTCAAATAGTTGCCCCCCAGCAAAACAAACAGTTGTAGGATTTTCATGACTGTCATCATTTTTGTTCTGTCCTTACATAGGTTACTTATCATATTGAAATGGCTGTAATATGAGGTTGGAAAAGCAAACAGCTATTTCTTTACCTTGTTTTCAGTCTTGGTGTTTACAGTTAGACCCAGAGCTGGCCCTCCTGCTAGTGACTGCTTCAACTGGTCTTTCACTTCTGTCAGCTTGATTTCTAGGTCTACCCGTCTTGCCTCATTTGCTTTGCACTGCTCCTCTAAGGCTGCAACACGCTGTTCCAGCTCCTTCAAGTCTTTCCCTGTTACCAACACAGAAATGTTTATGTATTATTACATTTGTTTGCTGTACATCTTACCACAGGGTAACCTTACATGAAGCAAAATCTAAATGAAACTAATGAAACTATGCAGATTCTAGAGTTCATATGTCTTTCCAAAATGGTTCTCCAGTGAACCTAACAAAGTTCAAGAATAACATTCAACAGTGTTATGTAAAGAAATGGTCTATTTTGAGGGTAGAATATAAGTGGTCAAAATTGTTCCCCATTTCTCTGAGGATAAATCTACTCCATTTAATTTTTAGCTCTAAATTTCCTGGGCCCAGCAGAATACTGGGCTAGACTTTCCATTTAATATCTTGCTTCTTGGGTGAGCCCAGAAATACCACATATGGTTTTAAATTTAGAAGAAGCGAGAGAGAATAAAAGTGATTGCTAAAGAAGACTAACAGTACATGGAAATAAAAATGAAATATATTCTTGTCACATTGATAATAAACAATGTGAACAAATGGAAGATTAATAACTTTGTTGATTGTTTATACTTTTTGTTCTAGGAAAATAGTTTATGGTTTTATTTTCCTGGAGTTGTTTCTCCACCTTTAACCTACTTGTTGTTCATTTTATGATAGCTTTTTAAAAAGATGTTCGGTGTGTGTGCTTATAGTGGATATAGGGGGTATATTTTGTTTCTTCACCTTCTCACTGTACTTGGATGAGAAATATTTATGGATGTCTTTTATTCCTAATTTTGTGACAAGATCTGTGATCATTTCAGTATCAGCCTAGAGCAGTGAAAATAACCATGCAATCTTTTACATGTGTACACACGAATACACACACACACATTAAATTTTATATATAAAATAAAATAAAAGATTGCATGGTTATTTTCTCTGCTCTAGGCTGATACCGAATATTAGGCTGAGAAATTATGGTTATATACTGGCATAGAAGCACCCTGGAAAGAACTAAGGTAGAGGTAATCCTCGACTTAACAGTTCATTTAGTGACTGTTTGAAGTTACAACAGCACTGAAAAAAGTGACTCATGACTATTTTTCACACTTACAACCATTGCAGATCCCCATGGTCGAATGATCAAAATTCAGACGCTTGGCAACTGACTCATATTTATGACGACTGCAATGTCCCAGGGTCATGTGATCACCTTTTGTGACCTCGGGGGGGGGGGGAGGGATCCACATGGAGAAGCCAGGTTCACTTAACAATTATGTTACTAACTTAACAATTACAGTGATTCACTTAACAACTGTGACAAGAAAGGTGGTATCATGGGGCAATATTCACTTAACAAATGTGTTGTTGAGCAACAGAAATTTGGGGCTCAATTGAAGTCGTAAGTCGAAGACTACATATACTGTCCTCTACCTTCCAAGCTTTCACATACCATAATCGTGTTGATCTTTTTAAATGGAAAGCCTGGTTTTTCCAGTAGGTGGAGCACCTGAGCTTTCATTTCTGGAAGGCAGGAATCTTTCAGTGGTCAATTTGAAGCTGTGTGGATTTGGCAGACTGAAGAGATATTGACAATATATCTAGCATTAAATGGGAAGGAACAAGATGCAAAGCCTAACAGCATGGTCTACCTTTGAAAAATGTGGAGGTACAGGTAGACCTCAGGTTCCGAAGGCAATTGGGATTGGGAACTCTCACTGATGATATCACATGACTGCATTGCTTAGTCTTGGTTAGCCATTGTTAGGTTAGCCAAGTAAGGACCTTACATGATTTTCAACTTCCTGCTGGCTTTCCCATTGACTTTGCTTGTGGGAAGCCAGCAGACAACATCAGAAATCGCAACGTTAGGACCGCAGGGATGTCGTAATACCTGGAACTCTGGAGGGGGCCATTGTAAGTCCCTGTCATAACTTTGAATGGTTGTTGAAGAAATGATAGTAAGGACTACCTGTAATCTTTTGTAGGAATCACCTGACACCGTTTCTTCTTTATCAATAGACTCTCATAGTGAGTCTAACTCACTGATCTCTCAAAAATCAGGGCGGCAAAGAACACAGGTGGTTTTGGGGAGATCCTAGCAGGTGGGGTGCCACTTTGAACTATATGTGCTGCACAGTTTCAAACAGAAATGTCTGCCAAACTGATAATGAAGAAAATCTCCCAGAAGCCAGGGGAGAAGACGTAGATGTAGAGCCTCTTCTTCTATTACATATTGAACAAAAAACCCATCTCCATAAACCTTCTGAACTTTGATTTTTGAAATATCAGCTTTTATAAGGTGGAAAATAGAAAAGGCACTGCCCCACTGCCCTCGCCTTGAAGCAGGACTGTACCTGATTTGTTCTTCATGGCCTCCCGTAGTTCCCGCTTTTCCTTACGCAGCTCAATAAGCTCATTTCTAATGGACGCCTTCTCCTTTTCCAGCTTATCTTTCTCTGTTAGGAACCTCCGAGCGTCTTCCTCAGCCCGGTTCTTTCCGTATTTGTAATTATTGGCATCTGCACAAACACACACACACACAACATATAGGTTCTTGAGGGGAGCTCTTTTTTAGCAGCAAAGAAAGCGAATAAGGCTGACCAAGCTCAAAGCGACATGATTCTCCATTTAAAACTCAAACCAAGATGTCATCCTGTACTCCAACATAGCTGCCTTATTGTTTTCCAGAAATTGCTTATTATTGATATTTCTAACACTGGATAAATGAATTATTAATGAGCCTGTCACAACTGTAGCACAACCTAGCATCCTTGGTAAAATGATTTATAGCTATTAGGGAAATGTCTGTGGCAGGACATCTGGACAGCACCGTTCTCATAGGCCAAATTTCAGAGGATTTATATTGCAGCACAGGAATCCAAGGTGGGCATTCTTACAGCATGGTAGGAAATTGCAAACAGAAAATTAAGACTCTCATTCACACCCTGCCATTTCAAGGCTGTCTCCCAAGAATGGGATAGTATAAAAGAGAAAATACAGTATTAGCTTAAGTTTATAAGGATGTTGCCCAGGCAACAGATTGGGATTCTTGCATTATGATATGAGTGAATCCTTGATCATTAAGAAGTGGCGTGCAAATCATATGCAATTGTGACAAAAGCAGAAACATCAAACAAGGAATGAGTTCTGTGCTTCGATATGTTGTGCTGTGCAGCTGGATTTTTATCTTTTAGGAATGGGAGTTCCTGATGAATCCCTCCCTGCCCCCCCCATTCCCTCTTTCTTAGTTGGTTGATCCATAGCATTATGACAAATATATGACAGATGAACCCCATCCAACCTACTTGATGCATGACGCTTGACTTTAACTTGTGGATCTATACGACGTGATTTCTCACTGCAAGAAGAGCCATGGCGCTTCACCTGGGATCCTGATGGCCACCCTGATTTTTCTGACTGCACGAAGGAAACAGGAGAGCAAAAACAACTGTGATGTCATGAAGAGCATTACCAAGGAGGTATCAGTAAGAAATCCAGTTTTACCCTAGACTGTGGAAACAGCTTATCCTACTATTTCTGCCTAGAAACAGTTCTCCACAAGTTGCCAAGCAACTGGAAAGGGAGGGTCACATGTAAGCTAGAAGAATAGTGATGTCAAGGAATTTTTTTAAAAAAAGAAAAAAGGATAATATTTTTGCTACCTCCACCTTCTCGTAGGGGACTTCATCATATAACACACGGGTTAGCTCTGTTTGGTTCTCAAGAGAGGAGCTGGCCGATCTGAAGAAGAAGATATAGATTAAAAACAGTTTTAATTTTCTAAGCAAGTATTTAATAAGTAAAGATGATAAGGCTCTTTTCTCCAGATTAACTGAATCTAAACACTTCTGGAAATCCATGACAAATGTCACCTCATCTTAGTTAGTATTTTTGGTAAGGCAGGAGAGAACATGCCTTTTAAAAACTGGAAAACTCAAAAAATAGGAGGAGATAATTAGCCTTTGATTCTTGAGGATGTATCACATAAAATATCATGCAGATTTCCTTTATCCAGACTTTTTAGCTGCATCAAGGTTGAATCCTTGTAATGGTTGTTTATGGGACTGGAATTGTTACAAGCTGCAATCCAGCATTTCTGGAGGACAGAAATATATAAAATATGTCAAGTGCACATCTAAAATAGAGAGAGGATCCCTTGGGATACCTGTCCCTATGACAATCTGGGCTTGCTGTTGCATAAGTACTTGCTACATCAAACTAAGTCAAAACACAGCTAAAGAGCAGCTTACCGAGACAACCTCAGCTCTCACAGAGCTGAAATCCTCCCAGAAACTCCCATCTCTTACGCTCTCAAATATTTCTGCAAAACACTAAAGCATTTACCCTCCCATCCTTTCACAGAAGGAAAATCCTTTGGAAGGGAGCGGGGGAGCGGGGAGCAGCTACAGGAATAGAATTGTAATCCTGAAAATTTTAGCTCTGTTCCTACAATCTGCTGAAGGATTTTCTTTCTCTTCTGAACCTCCACTTGCAGCCTTCCCTGTGGGCAGCCTTTCCCCATTGCTTTTCTGGGGAAGCCAGCAGATAAGACTGGAAATGGTAATCACATCATCACGGGACACAGGCAAGTTAGTTGCCAGTGCCTGACATGCAGGCACATTACTGCGGGGAGGTGTAGGGGGATAGTTTAATGTTTTATATGTTTTATGGACCATAAAACACTCTTTCCTAGACTGCAATAATTTTGAATGGTTATTAAATGAGTGGGTATACACTGAAGACTATATATATTTCTCACATTAGAGAGTATTGTATATTTTTTTTCTTTCTAGATGCAGACAGTTCCAATTTTTTTGGGGGGGGGGGCAATGTAGCTTTGTAGCTTACTTTTAAGAGTCAAAGAAAAGCCAACTATTATGAATATAAGAGTTATCTGTGTTAGGCTTTGTCTCCACTAACCCTGTCACAAGTCACCTAGCAAATCTCTTGTATCATGTCCCCATGACGTTGCATTCATTATATCTCAACCCCATGAGTAAGATTGGCTTATGTCATTCGTTTTAGCAATGCTTAAGCAACATTCCATATCCCATCCCCTCAATTCCAACACTGTCCAAGGGCAGCCTCAAGGCAATCTAATATCTGCTAGGCACTCCTTACTATGAATAAACATCAAGTGATGAGTACTGACTAGGAAGAGGGACATGACAGAAATTGGCACAGGTAACATCAAATGTCACACTAGAATAATCTGTTGATTGAAGAGAGAAAAGAACTCAGCAGTAGATACCATTAGATTGGCATCTTCTCATTGTTATTTTTGTAGTCTAAAAGGCACCTCTATATTCCATGCTTATCCATTTGCTACTTAGATTCAAAAAAGTTTTAAGAAATATCAGAAAATTTATTATTGTCACTGACCAGGAGAAAGTATGGAAGCAATCTGCAGAGGCAGACACAGAACCCCTTGTCAACCTAGGTATGTCACAAACATATCAGTAAGAGGAGCTCTTACATATAAGAGTGTCTCACAGCATTGATGATGTTGGCTATTTTCTCAACATCTACATAATCGTAATGCAAGGTCTCTGGAGTGGTCTGGGAACCAGTTTCAACCAGCAGCAATCCAAGCCAACGTCCCAGATCTTCATAGCTGTTTGCCTAAATGAGTAGATGATATACAAAAGTAAAATCATAAATATTTTTCTAGGAAGCAACAGGGAACATTTTTTTCCCTGCAAGTAAGATAAAGATATAACTTTACAGCAGTACTATCTAATCTATCAAATAAAGTACTATCAAATAAAGATCATTTCCATTTCTTTCTACTGGATGAGTGAATAGATTCAATAGCACGCTAAATCATTTTGGTTTAGTATATTGTGTGAATTCAACTACTGTGCTCTAGAAATAATGGGTTATGAATTAGAGCAATGTGGCCGTGTGTTGTAGCTTATTCAAGAAATCATAATGAAGATAAATTATGGCGGATTACAGGATATGGAAACACTGAACCTACACAGTGAAAAATCACTCCTAAATGTACATGTGTAGAGGTCTAAATAAAAGCATTCTTATTCTTTTAAGAAAACTAAAAGCTCCTTTACCTCTAAGGCAGATACTTCTTGTCCATTGCGAAGGATACGAAAAGCAAAGGGATGCTTGGGGCCCAGTCCTGGTGCCACCTCACATCCCCGCAGGACAATGGCATTTACATGGGTCCTTAAATCTGTGCGGTCCTTATGGAAATAAAGCATGTTGCCTTTTAAACGACACCAACGTTCCTTCCAACACTGGTTAACAAGAACATGCAAGTAGCCTGCCAGGAAGTATGAAAGAAGATCAGCATTAATGCAATTACCATCATGAGAGAGAGAGAGATATTAAAAGTTCCAGAGATTGTTTCCTAGGCAATCAGAAAATGTTGCAGTTAGATATGATGCAGTTGGTTCCCAAATCCAAAATTACTTCAGACTAAAGGAGAGGAAACCTGAAGTTTTCCAGATGTAATTGACTTTTAATACTGGAGTTGGACACTTGGAGTTAAATAACATCTGGATGGTTACAAATTTCTCCTTCCCAGCATTATTATCAATGAGATATTTTTTTTGCTGAGTACATGTCTCTATTTTTCACACATTCACACACACACACACACACACACACACACACACAGCATGAATTTAGAATAGCATCATCTTTGCTCTAAATGATTTGCTGTACATTTTAAAGTACGGTAAGTAAGCTTTGTAAGACCCTTGGATTGAACAAATCAGAATATGTACGGTCTTGCAAAATATTTTTCATTGTTTTAGAAAAGGGGAAGGGGGGGGGGGGGGGGGGGGGGAGGTAATTATCCCAGGGATGCATGAGATTATTATAAGAACCAAGATTACTATGTGCT